TGAAGTGCAACGAGGATTGGAAGCAATTGAAATGCATTTGGCATTTCTCTGAGGGGCTACGGGGGAGGGAGGTAGGGGAGGAGGATGCACGGTGCCACTCCAAATTGTTCCGTTTTTTTTTTTCAAAATATTATAGTGTACATAAAAAATATATTTATGCTATTCTTAAACATAAGAATGAACCTTAAAAAATTGATTTAATATCAAAGTGTTTAATGGAATAGTTTAATATATGAAAAATATATTTATTCCTTAAACATAAATAGTCAAATATGAAAAATATATTCAAATATTTCTTAAAAGTAAATAAAAAAAAATATATATAAATTTCGTGAAAGTAAATAATTACATATAAACAAGAAAGGAAGCTAACTTCGGCACGCCGAAGTTTATATACCCTTGCAGATAGAAATTCTATGACTAGGAATCCATACCATATAAATTATATATATATGTGTTAAAAAACAATGAAGTAATACCTGCTTTCATTTCATTCACCTATACATATTATATTTGCAGCTTTTCATTCACAGATTTCCATTTTTCTTCTACATCAAACGATAGTTTGTATGGCACCTATATGATATAGTCGTCCGATTTTCATGAAATTTGACACAAAATTTAAGACTAATATAAAATGGATTCACCTCAAATTTGATGAAAATCTGTTGAAAACTGAAAAAGTTATATTTTTTAATTGTATTAATTTCTCGATCGTTCCTATGGGAGCTATATGATATAGTAGTCCGATTTTCATAAAATTTTATACAAAATTGTAGAGTATAGTAAAATGGCTATATCTCAAATTTGATCCAATTCTATTGAAAACTGAAAATGTTAAAATTTTTTTTGTAAAAATTTTCCGATCATTCCTATGGCAGCTATATGATATAGTCGTCCGATCCGGCCCGTTCCGACATATATACGAGTGAGAGTATATAGAAGGCTAACTACAAAGTTTCATTCAGATAGCTTCAAAACTGAGAGACTAGTTTGCGTAGAAACGGACAGACGGACAGACGGACAGAAGGACAGAAGGACAGACGGACAGACGGACAGACGGACAGACGGACAGACGGACATGGCTAGATCGACTCGGCTGTTGATCCTGATCAAGAATATATATACTTTATATGGTCGGAGGTGCCTCCTTCACTGCGTTGCAAACTTCTGACTGAAATTATAATACCCTGCAAGGGTATAAATATATACATACCATAAAAGTAAATAGTAATATAATAGATATAAATATTCCCTAAAAGTAAATAGTAATATATGAAAAATATATTTACATTTATGTTCCTTAAAAGTAAATAGTAATAATAAAAATATATATATTCCATAAAAGTAAAAATTAATGTATGAAATATAAATATATCTTCCTTATAAGAAAATAGTAATATATGAAATACATATAAATTCCTTAAAAGTAAATATTAATATATGAAATATAAATATGCCATAAAAGCAAAAACAATTTTATATAAATATTAACAGCAATACTAAAGCCTAGATTTTTTTTAAATAGTAAACTCGCAAATTCATCTTTAAATATTATTTAACTAAATTAAATAACTTTATTTGATATTATTTTCGGTCAAAAATATAATGAAAAATAACATTCAAATTATTTTTGCTTTATTTTAGGCTTAAAAATAAACAGCAAATATATGGATTTAAAAATGTTAAATATTTAAATTATAGATTTTAAAAGTAAATTAATAAAAAACCATAATTTTCATATTTTTTTACTGATCTAAATCCCAAAAATAACAAAGGAAAAACAAAACCCAAAGCAAGAATGAGCTCTCAAAAACCAAAACCATTTGCTGACTTTGCAAAGAATTTTCTTTGCTTTGCTAGGAAATACTAAAAGTGAAAAACTGTTCCCACTCTGTTAAGCCTCTGTTAAATCCTTCACTGCCAGCGTCTCTGCCTCTGCCGACGCTTGCTGCCAGCGCCTGCGCTTGCCCCCGGTATTTCTTCGTGTTTTCCGCTCGTGTTCGCCTTCGTCACATCGTTCTAATTTAGATCCAACTTTAGATCCCTCTCAGGACTCGGGCTTTAGTCCATGACCTAACTTTTTGTTTCGGCCATTGACGCGTCGTTTGTTCATTCAGCGTTTTGCAGAGCCCAGGAGCGGTTCAACGGGTCGCATGCGTGATATTATTATTACGTATACGCAGGGTTGGCCACAAAATGGCGTAACAGAATATATATTTGCAGCACTATGAAAAAACGCACTTGTCAGCTGAAAATTTGCATAAAGCCAAAAGGTGAAATAGGTTTTATTTTATCTGAAGTTTAGGATGGGGGTAAAATCCACTTGAATTCCACCTTCTGCTCATTACTGTGGCCGTTTATGATGGTAATTCTTGGCCATCTGCAAAATTGTTGAACTGCGAGCAAACCGGAGATTCAATAGTTCCTCAAGGCTTTGTGTATGAGCGAACTTTGTCTCTGAATTATAATGGGAGCTGGGAATGAAGAAGCTTTCAACAAGTTGAAAGATATTCGAGAAGGTTGAGAAGAAGTTCCCGGAATGATATCCAGGATGACTGACAAAAGTTTGACTTGGTAATTGTGTGTGCTTCATGTGCTTCAATGGTTATAGAAGTTGCCTTCCCTAAAGTTCCTGGAATTTTCGGTTAAAGGAATTTGATCCATGAACTTTCACCAATATGACAAAGATTACACATTTTCAAGAATTTTATTTTATAATGAAATTATTAAGGGATAATGAATAGAGTGCAAATTGTATCAAGTCTTGATATAATTAAATACATTTCTGAGAAAGATACTCGAACTTATCGAGAGCATCTGTGACACAACTAATTAAAAACAAATAACCCAAAAAGGTAAAAAAATCAGCAGCCATAAGGAGCTGTATAAAATAAACAAGCATGCAAATAAATTATAATTATAATAGTAATAAATAAAGGCAAATATCGCAAGTGGCGATGAGACTCCGCGCAGCGGTTTCACACGCAATTAACATATTCTCTCTGTTGCATTTAAATTGCTGCATATGGATTACGCGGTGGTTCTTGTACGACCTGAAATCCCCAAAGCCATTCCATCCTTACACACACACACCCCCACACACACCACCCCACACACACACCCCCCACCCCATCTGTGCGTTCTTTGCTCCTTCACTTTGTCGTGCTTTTTATTTATTTTTTTTTTGTTTTTGTCGCGGTGCGTCGTTTTTTAATTACTTGCTTTTTTGTTGCGCGCTTTTTATTCAATTACTTGTACAAATTGCAAACAGACAGCAACAAAAACAAAAAAAAACGAGCGGATGGCAACAAAAAACAAGAAAAATAAGGGGCATCAGGTGTGCGGATAAATGTCGCAATTTGTATGATATTCCTCAATTCCGTCACTTTGCAGTCGCATTAAACAATTAACAAGTGTAATTGATAAACAATTAGCGGCATTATGAGCGAGCCGCAAAGCCTGCAATGCCACAAAAAAATTATAAAAATAAAAATAAATAAAAACAAAATATAAAAACCCACAATATAAACAAAAGGGAAATCGGATGAAATTTCAAAGGCTAAGATTATCAGCAAACTTTAATCTAAGGTTAGCACATTTCAGTTAGGTTTATGTGGGAATTTGTATTTATAAAAAAATAAAAAAAATAGAGTAAAGATAATTTAGTTTATAATATATTGATAGTGTTATTTAAAAATCTTAAATATAACATTATGTTTCGCTCTCGAAATATGAAAAAAAACTTTTCGAAGCTTAGATTTAAGCTGGAAGTAAGTGTTTTTATTTCAGTTTTAAATTATTTCTTATTGTATGTGTTATTGGAGTGTCAAAACTTAAACAATAGTTTGGGAATTAAGGGACCAAATCGGAAATCGACCACAGAAGAGCTTACAAAACTCAAATTTATCGAATCTTTATTTATAGTTATTTTTCAAAATTTATAAAACTCATAACTACGCCAAAAATGCTTTAATTTCAGTTCGGAAAGCAGTTCTATGCTAGTTTCTAACAGGCTAATAAATCTGCATACTTTATTTAAGATGTAAAAAAATTAAATTTTTTTTCAAATTTTGACAAATTTTAATGAAGTAACCCCTTATAAAATTTTGAAAAAATTCTAAAATTAGTTTTTTCTTTTCGACATAGCCAGACAGGTTTGCCTTTTGATGCTAATCAAGAATATATATGATTTATAGGGTCGGAAATGACTCCTTTATCGAATAACAAGCGTCTGAATAAAATTATAATACCCTGCAATGGTATTCTAGTCTCTCTGAATTACTACTATTACATAATTTTACTTAAGCTTAAGGTTAAGTTTTTTCTTACATTTAAATTTAAGCTTGAACTAAACTTTATAAATATATAAATACTCCATCTTTATATATATAATCTGGCACGAAATCGCTTTATGGGGCGAGAATAATTTGTTTATGGAACCAGGCATGTCTCAGAATAAGAAACCGCTAATGAAAATCACAAACAACGCGATAAGTTAGTGCAAAAATACAATACACTGGTATAAATTGTTGAATATTTTCTTGGTATTTACTTGTACATATATATATTTTTTTAAAAATCACTGAAAAGTGTGTTTGTCAAGACAAGATTATGAATAAATAAATAAATAGTACTGAAAAAAAAGAAATTAAAGCAAAAGTTTAGTTAATAATGTAAAAGTCACAAAATCATTTTATATATATTTAAAATTTCATAAACTTTGATGCCAACCCATGGACTCTGTCACTTTGACTGTAGGTTATCAAGAAAAATCCCCGAAAACTAAAAAAAAAAAAAAACAGTGTTCATGATATTTCAATGTATAATGACAATTTATAGACGTTTTTCTAGCAACAAACCCAAAACCAGTCGTGTTCGATTCTCGGATGACGGTAAGGTGCGGTCTTCAGGGGGTCTTTGTCGTAGTCGCTAAGTGCCGTGTCTATATAAACAAATGTCCAACGATGATCTCCATTTAGTTTTCGAATAGAGTGAAATCAAATCAGACGAAAATGCGGACAATACTTTTGATAATGGGACTTTTATTGGTGGCCAGCTGCTCCTCGGTTCTAGCCAGGCCACAGGAGGAGTCTAGTAGCTCCAGTACCAGTACTACATCTACGACCACTACAACTACCCCTAAACCAGAGGAGAATTCCAGCAGCAGCAGCACCACCACCACCACTGAGAAGCCCAAAGAGGAGTCTACCACCACCAGTACCACCAGCACTACGACACCCAGTTCGACTCCTAGCACCACTCCTAGCACCACTCCTAGCACCACTCCTAGCACCACTTCCAGCTCAACCACCACCACAACCACAACCACTCCCAAACCCGATGATGAGGCCGCCAGGCTCCTGCAGCAATGCGCCGAGTTGAGCCGCCGGAAGAAGCGCGGTGGTTCATCCTCTTCCGAGGAAGACAGTGGCGAGAAGAAATCTGCAAAGAAAGAACGCAAGCAGCTGAAGAAACTCTGCAAACAACTGAAGAAACAGCAGGAAAGGAAGGAGGAGAAGGCCCAGAAGTCGGCTTTATCCGATCTGGCTGAAGCCTTGAGAAACTACAACCAAAAGCAGAAGAACTAAATAGAAAAACAAACCACTTTAAACATCATGAAATATTATTTTTATGTTTTTTTTTTTTTTGTTACTATAGAAAGTAAAGCAAATAAACAGTTATGATTTTAAATACTTCAAAAATAGTGCATTTTATTAAATTAATAATATTAATTTAAGTGCCAAAGTCTGCTTAAAAGTAAAACAATCAATTTGAACTTTAAGCCAGTTCCCTTTAAATATTTTAAAAGGGAACTAAAAGCTGACATTTGCTCATTATTTAGTGCTTTCTATAATAATTATAGAAAGTGTAAGATAAATATTATTTTAGAGCTTCTCAAGATAATGTTAATATCTAACAAAACGTATTTTGTTAAAATCAAAAGAGAAGTCGTTACCAATTGTATATTAATCATATGTTTTATATATATTCTTGCCAATACATTTTATATACAAAATTGCAAAATGGGTTAAGTTATAGTAAGGTATAGAGCCAGTAGGTTTCATAGAATAATCAAATAATATTATTAAAATATTATAATAGAACTTTAGTAGGTTTTTATAGACAGTCTGGGAATTCTTTCAATCAATATAGCAAAAAGCCCTGGAAGTTACATAAACACCTCCTCATAAATTTATCTATTTGATTTTATTATACTTTTATTTTTTTACTAGATTTAATAGATATTTTATTAATTAATTAATTAATAATAATTCTTTGAATCAGTTTACAAAACTCCCATACAATTATATAAATACTTCTTCATATATCACTTCTTTTTTCTCTAGTTTTATTAAGCTTGTTACACATTAAGCTATAAGTTTTAGAAAGTGCAAATAATAGCATTTGACGAATTCAATTTGCTTCACTGATTATCGATCTGTGATTTATTTGCAGACTATAATCAAATCAATAACCAATATATGAATCATAATTTAAGTGGGTGAAAGTTATTTACTATATTAATTATAAACCAAACATATATTATTTATTAACTAGAATTTGATTGAAACTTAATTTCTTATTTATTTTCCCCTTAACAAGATGTTTATATACACATTTGTACATTGTTATTGTTGTTAAATGATTTATTCTTGTTCTTTGTACACTTTTTTTGATATTTCCGCAACCAGAAATAGAAAACCAACAAATAAATAGAAATAGAAGACATATAAAACTGGTTTTTGGGCCACGACAAGTTTTATAAGGTTACAGCTACATATTTTTACAAGGGCAATTTCGATGGCTAGAAAATACTGTAAACACGAGCGTTAAATTAATATTTAATTGGAACAGTGTGTATCTTTGAATTAGCACATTTATCAAGTCTTATTTATACCCTAACAAAGGGTATTTGATATGAAGTGTAGTCTAAAGAACTATATCATATATAGTTGTCATAACAATAATTATATAGTTCTCTTGAAAGGTTTTTTTCTTTTTAATTATGTTTCAATTGCTAGAGCATACAAACTTCATCAGCTAGAAGCCAACTTTATCTATTGTTTTCTACATATTTTAGCCATTTCGGCTTTCGGCTAGTTGCTAGTTGGCTTAAGGTCAAATTCGAAAATGTGAGCTGGCCAAGAAAGCAATTTGCATAATCAAAGCATATGAGAAAATCAAGCGCAAAATGACGAGAATCTGTGGACAGCGGCGAAAACCGAAGAAGAAATATGAATGCTAATTAGTTTGAGCCATTGAACTTTGTTTGTTGATGAGGGGAATGGGGGCACAATTACACTGGGGAAAAATTAAGCAGACAAAAGAACAAAATGCTACTATCTGAGTGTAAAAATATTAAAGAAAAAACAATTAAAGATCTATTTGAGTATATAAATATTTGCTAAAAAGGTTATTAAATATTTAATGAGATTGGATATTTATAAATTCCTTCTCTTATTTATAAATAATTATATTAGTAAACTATGTCATATTTCTCTCGGTGCATTCTCTTTTGTAAAATGGGTCGCCCCTTGGCCATTCTTCAGCTGACACGCTTTGAACCCGCAGACTTAATTATGCAAAAAAAAGAGGAATGAATATATTTAAAAAACGAAATAAAAAGGTAATTCTTGGTGAAATGCCGTTACGGAATGGCGGCCAGAAAGTTAATATAAGCTTGGGATATCGGCCCAAAATCGATTCAGTCGATCGAGTAGAGACCTTCTAACAAGTTGATGATGATTTGCGGCAAGGGATTCGGGATGATCCTGGTCCTGGTCTGGGCCATGGCCCTTTCCAGTGACCTCACGCTGGTGAGCGGTAAATTTTTTTGCCACCTTTCCAGTTTTTCACAATAATATTAACGAGAATTTCGGTGTCTATGTGTGTTTGTGTGTTTTCTCTTTTTTTCTTGTAAATATGTGTTCGTGTCAAAGGTCAAACGGTGGCTCCCAAGACAAGCTCCACTGTTGCACCACCGCATTTGGATGAGAAGCCAATGATTGTGAATGCGCCGCCAATGAAGCAAAAGAAGGTGGGTCTTGATACAACACAAAAAAATAATATATAAATTAAAAAAATGTATGAGTAAAAATGGGATAAATAATTAAATTGCTGCCATTTGTTAGCTGCCCGAAATGAAGCCGGAAACGGAAATGAAAATGAAACCAAAATGGCCAAGCCCAAGGAGGCCATTGCAATGGAAGCTCCCGCTGCTCCCGCTGCACCCGCTGCTGGAACTAAGCCCCTCCAGGTCACTGGATTCATCACCAAGACTGGCAACATCTATGAGATTGAGGATAGACGCGGCTCCATTGGCTCCATTGAGGGTCGCCAGGCTGTGGAGGAGAAGCGGGATGCGGACGAAATCGTGTGCAACTATGGCAATGTGGTCATCTATAGTGATGTACCCTGCGATCAGGTGACCAGTGTGCGTGTTGGTGAGATCAAACAGATCAAGGAGGATCAATCGGTGGCCGCTCCAGCAGAGGATACAACCGAGGCGGGACAGGGCGAGGAGCAGCAGCCGGCTGCCTCCGAGCAGCAGTCGCAGATGACGCCGCAGCAGGGGGAGGAGGATTCGCAGCTAGATGAAGCGGAATCAAGGCCACAGGTGAATCATCCTCGTCAGCAGCAGAATAACAATCGTCGTCGTCGTCGTCGTCCCCAGCAGCAACGACAGCAGATGCAGCAACGTCGTCGTCGCCGGCAGCAGCAACAGTTGCAGCAGCGACGACGCAACGGTTTCAACAACAACAACAACAACAATGTGCGACGTCGTCGCAATCGCAATGGCAACAACAATCTGCGACGTGGTCAGCAGCAGCAGCGTCGTCGCATCAACAACAACAACAGGAGACGCATCAATGGCAATAACAACAACAACAACAATCAGCGTCGCAGGCAGCAGCAGCAGCGACGTCGCCGTCTCAACAACAACAACAACAACAACCGTAATAGGAATCGCAATCGCCAGTAAAGGCCACACAAGGGTTAAGGAACATCAGCTGCCCAGACAAGGGTTAAGAAATCTTACTATTCAAAATTCAAATAAAATACTCAAGACAAAGAAACCTTTTTTATTTATTTTCTTTCAATAAGTATAATTTTCCTTTTTCTCCAACAGTTTTTCTACAATTTAACTAAGTTTCAAGTGAAAGAAAAGTGTGGCTTTTCCCCAAACCAAAACAAAGCAAATGCAATTTGTTTGCTGTTTTTGGTGTTGCCAGCTTGTCACTTTAATTGTAACTAGATTTTCGACTTAACTGTATAAATATATATATTTATATGTACAAATATATTTTATTTTGCAAAAGGGGTCGGCAATGCCAGTATGGTTTGGGGTCGCTTGGGGCTGCGATGTCAACGTCAGCATCAGTTACAAGAAGAAATTTGCGCGCTTGGGCCCAGCGCACTTAACACATAAAACAAACAAATACAACAAAAAAACAACATATAGAGGGGGGAGGACAGGGGCGCACATGCTGAGCGGCAAAAAGGGGGCCGCCATAGAGAGTACAGCGAGCCAAGCGCGCCGAGCGCGCCAAGAAAGTCATTCAAAAGTCAACCAACTTTCTTTTGAAACACGTTAAAGAGCAGTACAAAAAAAAAAAAAGAAATCTCGCACACAAGGCGAGAAGGGTTTCGAGGGGGGGGATAGGGTATAAGGAGGGGTAGGGGTGTCCTAAGGGGGCCGGGACAGGACTATGACATCGCCCCCAACCATCTGCTGTTACTGATTTTCCTTTGTTGTTTGCATGCACAGCAGCGACCGAAGAAAGGATGACTGCACTTCCCAGCTTGCTTACCTGCACTGAAAGAAATAGTCAAGCAAGCTCTCTTTTTAAGAATTTTTGTAAACTTAGTAAGAAATTGTAGTGATAAAGAAGTTATAATTCCTAGGAAGTCAAGAAACAAAACATACACCAAGTTTTGTACTTGATTCCATTCCATTTCTATTTGATTTATTTCATATTATCCCTGCTGGTTTTCTCCGTTTTTTCTCTCAGTGCTTAAGGGAGGCGTGGACGTCAAGCAGAGGGATGCCATCTCTCCAAGGAGCCATCAAAATGTGACGTTGTCGCCGCTGTTGTTGCTGCTGCTGCTGCTGGTGGGTATCGTTGTCATGCGTTGAGCCTGCAAGTTTATCACCTCATTGTTCTTGCACGCCCCTGTCTTCACCCCACCTTTTGTGGGGGGTTGGGGGTTGGGGGGTTGGAGACACCACCCCTTCAGCGGTACCCCTCCTTATGGCTGTTGCTGTTTTGTGGTTTTATCGCTGACTGTGGCAGTTGAGCGAGGGACCGCAGCTGCAACTGCAGTAACTGCTGCACCAGTAGTACCAGCAACAGCAACAGCAACAGCAGCAACAACCGCCGCAGGATTCCACGGCAGCCATCAAAGCCACTCGCAGATGGGTAGCTTTTCAGGGCGAGGGGGAGACTTTCAGCTGGTTGGTTGAACGTTTGCGGTGGCCGAGGACAATGGCCAAGTCATAAATGGCGCCGAAGGACTCAACGGCAGGAGGCATTTAAGGCCAACGTCGTCATCGTGGTCAACGTCAAAACAATTTTCGGTCAATTAACGTTGATCAGGCGCGTGTGGCGCCCTCAGAAAAGAGTTGCCATCACGCTTTAAGAAGCACAAAAATTAAACTCAGCGTTTGCTGAAAGTAAGAAAAATATATATACATCTCGCTACACAAAGAATGCTTTTGTTTATTTTAAATTGATAGAGATCTGGGACAACTCTGAATTCCAGTTACCTGTTTGCCAGGGTTGCCAACGCTATTTATATTCTAAACTACACCTCCACCCATCACCACCCACCGCCAGACACTTCTCATTAGTCCAGTCAACGAGTTTTTCGCGCTTCACTCTTGCTATTTTTTTTATATTTTTTTGGGTGAAACAAAACCAGGGGGGAAAAGTGGCATTCCGGGACCGAAGAGGACGAAAAAGTGAGTTGCAACTAATTTCAGTTTAATTTGTGTCAGTCTTCGCCGGCGCTTTGCTCTCCTGCCGCCGCTTCGGCTCCTTCCGCTTTCTTTATTTTCGCACTTGGCCCGGTTACTTATTATCCTTGAGCGACGTGTAAATGCTGCTAATGACGACGTCAAAAGAAGCCGCCATCAGCAGGATACAAAAGGATAAAGGCTTGCCTTATCCCTATTGCCGTCGCTATCTTACTCCATTCTCACCCTCACCCTCTCGTGCCGCCATTCTTTCGCCCTAACGAGTTCCGTGTTTAATTTGGCGGATTTATTATTTTAATTTGCGCACATTTTGCATCGCGGCCGCCATGAGTTTCGATTTTGATTCCATAATTAGAGGCCGGCAGCAACGACCTTCGGCCCCCAGGCAGCCTGTCAACCGAGGGTCCACAATGGCCAGCCCAGCATCCCGGGTCGATGATGCCCCATAGCCGTCTCAGATTCCGTTTTCGATTCCACGATTCGATTCCACGATTCCCGATGCCGAAACCCTTGGCATCCGCTCACATTTATGACAGTAATGCGCTTATTTTCATGTTAATTACTAGCAGACACGGACCGTTTCTACGGTAGCTCAGGTGCTCAGGCTTAGTTAAAAATGCACTGGAAGAAATAAGGGATTTTAAAACTAACAGTAAAACTTAACAGTTTATATTTATTTATAAAATTAATATTAAAAAAAACCTTCAATAAGTGTTGCTAAACATATTCCTAACGGCATTAGTACAGCAACATTTATATAGCAGCATTTGCATATACAGATTTATATAGCTATATCTATAAAGGAACATTTATCTAGCAATTTTTATGTAGGTACATTTATTTAGCTACAATTACATTGCAACATTTATATAGCTACAATTATTTATAAATATTTTTTTTAATGCAACATTTTTCAAGCTACATTTACATAGCAACATTTATTTAGAAACATTTACTTAGCAATATTTATTAAGCTACATTTATCTAGCTACATATCATAGCAACATTATTAAGAAATATTTCTTCTCTAAGCTAGTTTTTTAAACGTTAACAAATCTGTGTAATGAGCAAACATTTTTAAAAATGTAATTTTTTAATGACTTTTTTCACAATTCTAACGATAAAACCTCTTAAAAAATTTGTCAAATTAAAAAAAAAAAAATTATTTCTAGCATCAAACACCAAGTCGATCTATCCATCTTGTCTGTCCCATGTATAAATTTAATATGTAATCAAAAAAAGGCATTACTTTGTTGTTGTTGTTTTTTTTTACATAAATATATGTATAATTAATGATCGGATTACAATTTGCAATTTCGGTTCATATAATATAACATTGTAATGGCAGTGAATAGCTTACTCTCGCCTTCTCTTTCCATATGCCTCTATAAGCCTCTGCCTCCCTCACTTTCGCTCTCTTTCTTACTCACAATATGTATTGATATGCCTGCCTCCCTCTGTTGCAGCTCTAGAGATGGCGCTTACGCTCTATCTCTCTCTGTTGCAGCTGTAGAGCTTCCCTCTCGCTCTCTTTCTCTGTTATCTCTGATCGGGAAGTATAAATAGAGGCACTTCGATCGCCGCGACCTCAGTCTGTCCTAGGGGTACCTAGTGTTAACATCGGTAGTGATAGTGATTGTGATTACCCTTCGACCTTAAAAGAATGACGTGGCCAATGGAATGCAACTGGACAAACAGGAAGTGATCTTCAATACGACGATTACCCTGATTAAAGTCACCACGATTCTAAGTCTATACAGGAAGGAAGTAAACAATGACGTGGCCTTCACTGGGGTAAGTCCTAATCATGACAATTATATCTTTTACATATTGTTTTATTATATCATTAGTAGTTTAAATTTTTAAATATTTTTTTGGGATATCCAAAGTTTACAAATTGCATATATAAGTGAAAAATAATTTAATTTTGATTCGGAAAGCGGATCTGAGTTCAGTTTTTTAAGCTTAATAAATCTGCATACAGCAAAGATAATATTTGTAAAAATAAAACTGTGTTTTAGATTATTGAAAATGTTCCGATGCAATCCCTTAAAAATTGTATATGATATATTTTTTGGGAAAAATCAATGTTTACATATTGGATAACTTCGTCAAAAATGCATTAATTTCAATTCAGAAACCACTCCTGTCTTAGTTTTTTTAAGGTTAATAAATCTGCATACCCAATTTAACATTAAAAAAAACACAATTTTTGTCGATTTTTCCTAATTTTAATGTCGCCTGTTAATGCTGATTAAGAATATATATGATTTATGGGGTCGGAAATGATTCCTTCACTAAGTTTCAAGCCTTTAACTGAAATTATAAAGCCATAAATCGGAGTATAAATTATTTTTCAATGTGCATTTAGGTTTTCTTCCTTCCAAATAAATACACACAAATTATATATATATATATATATTTATATTTCCCTCTGCTGAATGGAAAACCTGGCCAAGATTTTTGCCAGACGATTTAAATAATTGACAGATTTTCGCTACGAGCGCCGCTGGCTGTCTTTGTTTGCATAGTCTCAGGTCTCACACCGCCCCCCTCAGTGCCAAAGCCTTCTAATCCCTGTTTAACCCCCTAGGTCCACACCCCTGGAAATCCGCGGGAGGTCAATTGAATGGCCTGTCGCCCCCCCACCGAAAAAACCATTGCTTGCTTTTGTTCATTGCGACTGTTAAACTGTTTTATCTTTATGCGATTATGTCTGCTGGTCTGCAGGTCTACCCAACCCCACCCCCTTTAGGGTTTCCAGAACCACCCAGAAACACCCATTACACCCACTCATTCACTCGCAACACTCATTCCTGGCGCGTCAAGGAGAGGACCCAACTCTTTGCCCAAAGCATTTGTGTTTAACAAAGTTAAGTAGAAGACGTGCTCAGGCACGTTTCCAGTGCTGCTTTTGCCACCCCCCCAGAGGGGTTTCCCCTTCTGAAGTAACCCGAAGCACCACCACCGCCCCCCTAGAGGAGCCACCCCCGCCCCGCTCTTGGGGGGTGGGTGGTACCAAACACCCTTGTTCTACATTTGTGCGCTGTCAATATTAGTGGCTGCCACTCGAAACTTTGCACAATGGCATTGGGGATATTTGAAAAACTGACAGATTCATTGGCGAGTCGGAAAAAAGAGGGGGGGAGAGAGGGAAAAACTGGGGAAAAATGGAGGAAAAACTGGGTAAAGGGTGGGGTGAAAATAAAAAGTTGGGATTGAGGGGAAAAGGGGTAAAATTATGGCATCAATGCTATAATTTGTAACAAACTCTTCCTCTGACACTCCGACAGGAAGCCAGAAAGTGGCTGGAAGCTCTTGAAATGTATTAAATATATTTTAAGTAGGCTTAAGTAAATATTACATTTATTTCTATATAACAATTAAGACTTCTTTTATGTGTAATTAATTTTCTTTTAAGATTTCCCAAGCTAGACTCATCAATTAATACTGTGAAATGGGTTTTCTTTGGTAATTTAAAATAAAATATATTTTGTGCTAATTTGTCACAGCCTCTCCCTCCTCGGGTTACTCTCCATAAACTGTTAAGTCCCACACTTTTCCCATTTTCCAATTTTCCCCCTTTTTTGATTCGTTTCCATTTTGGAGGCAACAACTTTTTGTCAGTTGTTTTAACTTGGCCTCCGGGTTAAGGAAAAAAGGGGTCGCAAAGAGTTTTATTTTCGGTGGAAGTGAAGGAAGGACGACTTCTTTGCCGGGAAGTTGCCCAGGATTCGGGTTGGTTTGGTCTGCCAGGGGAGACTTTTGTGTTATCAGCAGTCAGTTAGTAGCGTAAAACTTTTTAAACGTTTTCGAAACAAGTTGAAATTTAAATAAACCTTTGCCAAAATTTTTTGACGATGCCATTAACTCTTCCATCTCACTCATCCTTTAGAAAATATTGTGTTTTTTATTGAATTTAAGCAACAAAAAATTGATTAAAAGAAACAAGTTAAAGTCGGACTTAAGTGTTAAGGAATTGTTTTTAAAATTATTTTGAAGTCATGTTTCCCTTTTTTATGAACTGAAAGTCAAGGCGAAGACTCACCTTTTTCAAGGCTTTATTTACCACAGTTCTTTTTTCAAATATATATATTTTCCTTGTTGCTAAAAAGAATATGTATCTTCAAGCTGCCAAAAAAAAAAGAACTTCAAGAAGCTTCAATAGTTTGGTCAAGAAAACCAAAAGGGAAAAGTGCCAGCGACAGCGATAGCAACAAAATAATAAAAAAGCCAACTTCTTACCAAAGTTGACTTTGACACATTGGGCCAAAACACAAGCAAACACACACACACAAAACTAAACGAAAGAGTGTTAAGTGTTGCAAAATATTTATTTATTACTTCCAAAAAAGATTATAAATTTGGGTCAAATTGAGAAAGAAAGGAAATAGCCTATTTATTTACAATAAATATTTCCAATATTTATTTGTTAAATTTGTTACATTTGTTTTAAACCTTAACCCATGTATCAGAGAGACCCTCCCATTAGTCCCATTAATTTGCCTTATCCAGTGAGCTTGTAATTAACATCAGCTCCATTGGCTTTGAAACTAATAAGCCAAGTTAAAAAACCCCTTAGAGAGTGGGAAAAGAAATAGCCAAAAGAGCCAAGTCGAGTCGAGAACAAGACCAAGTCCAAGGCGAAGCGAGATAAATGGATTTAATCGCGATGAAAGCGCCAGTTTTTTTTTTCACCAAAAATCGGTGATAAGCGTTGGCGATAAGCTTGGGATAAATTGGAGCTCATTAGGCTGTCCCTATCTCCAGGTCCCCATCCTCTAGAATTGGAGCTATAAAAGTCGAAAAGTTTAAGCAAATCCAGCACAGTTTTATCTGCAGACTTTAGTGAAATGCAGTACCTCAAGACCATAGTTTTTGTCCTGCTCGCCGGTGTCCACCTGGGCAGTTCAGCTCCCCGCCAAGGCAGCTTCCTTCTAGTGCCAAGTGTTCCTTTCAACTTCCCGGAAGTTGAGAATCCACAAGAAGAGCCCAAGGAGAATCCTGAACCGAGACATCTTGTTGTGGAACAGCCAGAGGGGGAACTAACCCAAAAGGACCTCGAGCAGTTGCTTCGCTTTTCCAATGAACTGGGACAGACCCAGGTTCAGGCTAGAAAGTTTGGTTTCCATCACAAGTCGGATAGTGACAAAGATAAGGATAAGGACAAGGATCGTTTTCCGTATATCACATTAGTTGTTTTACCCCCAAACAACTCAACAGTTAATGTCACCAATCAGGCCATCAACGAAGGCGCAACCACAGGAGTCCGAACTGGCGATCCTCTAAGGACACCCCTAGCCTATCCTGTACCCGTTCCCATGCAGTATTTCCGGAGACGCGGCGATGAGGATTTACCCCTGGGCTATCCAGGAATATACGGATGGAATCAGCCTTCACTCTACGGAGGCTTGGCAGGATCGGGTCTGGGAGGATTGGGTGGCTTGGGAGGCTTGGGTGGTTTGGGCGGAGGCCTGAGTGGCTTGGGAGGTCTAAGAGGTGGCTACAATGGACTGGTCGGTGGATTAAATGGCGGCTCAACTGGTGGATTAAATGAAGGACTTAGCGGAAGTCTTGCCGGTGTGCCCCTGGTGCCCATAACCATTGGCAATGAAGTGCGTTATGTGCCACTAAATCTGCGTATGTTCCGACAGTTGGTCAATACTCCTGTCAGGGAAAAGGATGATCTGATGGAGGAGGACGATATAACACCCTTTAATGCATTCAATAGAGAACGGGATACCGAGGAGGCTGCGGCTGAAGAGGAAACTACCAACGAGGGAGAGGCTTCTCCTGAGACAGGATATGTTTCTTTAAGTCAAAGAAGGAAACAACGCCGACGAAGGCCTTTGCAGGCTATCACCCAGAAAATGCGACAAGTGCAGTTTCTGTAAAAGATAAAGGAAGCTCTTAAACCTGATAACGACACCTGCCTGAAAGACACTTTTTTTTTTTTTTTTAAATTAACAAAATAAATCAACTTTAAGAAAGCACAAAATTAAATTAAATTAAAAGGAGATTATATTTTAATAAAGTAACTATTGGAACTCTATTCATTTTAATTTGCTGTGAAAACAATTCAATAAGACGAAAGTATATATGTTTTTTTTTGAGGGAGGGGAAAATCCTATAGGAATTTTCCCCACATTTTCCCTCCTCCTGAATGTGTGCTTGTGTGTTTGTGTCTAATTGATGGCAACATTCTTGCGTCTAAAGCTCAAGGCTAAAAACCCTCAGTGTGCGTCTGTGTCAATAATAATAACAGATAGATGCGACTGGCAAAAACCTAACTGAGACACAATAACAAATTAAATAAATATAAGAAGCTTTTAAGTTAATAGAAAATTCTATAATTGAATTTTGTGCCAAACAAACAGCAAAACCTTCTCGTCTGAGGGCCATAGACACTTGGAGATATTTAATCAGAAATGCAAGCGAAATAATAACTCAAGATGGACGGAATTCCTACGAATACATGGAAACAGAAGCAATTTAAATTATTGATTAGAAGCCAAGACAAAATAAATGGAATTTAACAAATGCCAAGAAAAAATGAAATGGTGAATTATGAAGAGTCTTGTTTAACGAATTGATTGATTGATTTTTGCCATTTTGCATTTGTAAAATAATACATTAAAATAGTTTCCAGCAATTATGACTACGTTTAAATATTTTCCCAGCATAAATACACAAGTTTATTGAATCTTAATTGGTTTTCTGCCACAGATTTAAAGGCTTAAAATATTCTCTATGGAACAGTAACAAAAACCGTCATAGAAATGTAGAAACTAAATGTATTTTTAATCATCTTATTAATAAAGTAAATACATTTTTCATTTTCAATTATTATAGTTTACGTATTGAATAACATAGGTTGCAAGCTTTAGGGCACATTTTCCCACAATTTTCCACACTTTCCCCCCCGCACACTTGACCACAAGTGCTAGACCAGAAATAATAACGAACAATAATGGCAAATGTACAAAGTTAAAGGCAAAAAGGGAGCGTCAAGATATTGACACAACACTCTGGATGATTGCGGTGTTAAAGTTGAGAGCTGCCAAGCCACGTAGATATATGTATATATAACATATATATACTCCGGCTCTTCTCGCATCTTTGTATCCCCGTGTATCTTGTATCTGGTGGCTCGTATCTTTCTATCTTTGTATCTCTGTATCTCTGGCCCGGGCCTGTCAGTTGTGCTGTGTGCGTGCCAGCGTCGGCGTTTCTGTGGTAGAAACACTTTTCAAGATTAAAACAAAAAGATTTAAGTGAATTATGTTAAAGTTATTTTGCCTCACGCACTCGGCACTACAGATACATTTCTTGGGGGAAGAGAGGGACGTGTAATATAAATATGTGCATAAAAATAAATACAGAACACGAACTCGTTTTATTTATTTATGCAGTAAGATATATACACTGGGTCTTCTTTTGCAGATTTATGTGAGTTCCAGCTTATTGTCGGGTTTATTAGATTTGATTTACTGCCAAACAGAGAGAGGTAGAGAGAGAGAGCTTTCTCTGGGCACTTTCCTTGTCAAGAATGAAGGCCTAATGATTGCATGTTCTGAGATTTCCAACACTCAGCATCACGCAAGATGTGTCACTTTTGGGCGAGATGAGGTGAAATCTTTAATTGCACTTCCCTCGGCACCTATAAGAGCGATGGTGTTGGGTATCAGTTAGATCATAGAACCAGGAAACCCTGCACCATGCATATCCCCAGGAAGTTACTCTTACTGTTGGTCATTTTTCTGGCTCTCATAGTCAACGGAGAGTGCCGCAGAAGCGGTGAGTTTTGTACTCCTGGAAGTAGAATCAATAATTTTGCTTTACATCCAACAAATTTATAAAACCAGGCTATCGCTTGCCCAAGATCCAAGGACGTAGTGCCTCTGATAGTCCCTCCTCGCAGGATGTGGGCAGTGGTCGGGATTTTATGAAGAAATTCATGATGATGCGGGGCTTATTCCAACAGCCTAGTGACAATGTGATCATTATAACGAATCCCTCGGGTACAACCACCACAACAACAACGCCAACGCCAACCACAAGCACCACAACAACCACTACCACTAGCCCCACAAGCAACACCACTGGCAGATCCTTTGCTGAAGACAATAAGGAACCACAAGGAGCTGACAAGGAGTTGGCCATGGCTGCCCTTTCAGGGTTAGAGGATCGCCTGGACTTGCCAGAGGCAGAGTCAGAGCCATTGGAAATTCAGGAAACCGATACCCACAAACCGAAATTACAAAAGAGATTCAGGGTCAAAACCTGCAGCAACTTGGCAATGCCAAAAGAAACCATGGGAGAAAGACTCTCATTCGGCGTCACATTCACAGGCATCACAAGAACGAAAACAAGAAAAACCAGAAGAAGATTCCAAAAAGTGGCAAGACTTCAACGTCTTCGATTAATAATCAACAGCGAAATAATGAGGCATCGACGGTGAACTTCATCGAACCCTATCACAACGATCGGCCCCAAAGGCAGACAAGTCAGTCCGGCAGCGATTCGCGACTTCAACGGATCTGGAGACGCTTTCAGATTGCCAACTGATTGCTATCCATGATTAATTTAAAAAAAAAAACATTAAAATATATATCTTTTTTTTTTTCTTTTTTTTATAAAGTGTAAAATGGAATCTCTGAAGAAGCTCTGCCAGAGAATATTCCTGTAAAAATATTATAAAAGAAGTTATAAATATAAAGTGTCTTAATGTGTGACTTGCTAAACTTGCTAAAATATCCAATACAAACTTTAATAAAACGTAAAAAATATCAACTAATAACTAAAAGTTGCTATATATTATCACACTGTACAGCCAATTAAATTTCAGCGACACTTTGCCAGGACAGAGAACAAAAACTTTTCCAGGACAATGCTGGAGAGCACACAAATAAAGGAATATGAATATCAACTGCTGCCATCTTGAAGAGGTTTTAAATTTCATTTTGGCATATTTTATGGCAAATTGGGCAAGAACAAAGGGCATTTATATATGTATATAGTATATACAGTGTGTATGGAATGCTGACCCTGAAACTTTTCGCGTTGCACGTGAAACAAAATGGCGCGACTGGGAAAATCCTTTTCCCTTTTTTGTTTTTTTTTTTTCTGTTTTGGAACAATTGATAAGGGCGAAAAAAGAGAAGCGAAAAGGTTTGGGATTAGGCCAAGTCAACGACTCTGCCGCACAATTTTATATAAATAAAATAAGAGAGAGAGAGAGAGAGAAAGAGAGAGAGAGAGAGAGGAGACGCCAAGGGCCAGACGAAATATGGGAACATTATATCCTGACTGTGGCAAGTTCAAGGATGTCTGGCACGCCCGTGAACCATGAAAATAAAGCGTGAACCGGACCCGAAAATCGTCTCAAAGGAGTGAATAGCACTCGAAGGAAAAATTCCACAAACTAAATCTAAGATAAATAATAATTAAGATAAATAATTAAGAAAAATTGGGAGATGTAAGAATTAAATAAAGAATATTCTTTACTTTTGGGTGGTGTTTTATTTAAAGCTTGGTTAATATATTTTTCTGGCAGAGTTTTGTAATATTTCTCTCAGTGCCTGGCCATTTGTACATTTTCCTCCGCTTTCCTCTGTGCTTTTTTCAATACCCCCCAAAATTTGTGTAAATTGGCAAATAACGCATAAATAGCGCTGAGAAGTCCCCAAGCATCGGGGAATTGAACTTTGGCGCTGTCAGGTTTTGGCCGAAATTTATTTTCAACTTGGCGAAGGGGTTATGTTGGAAATTCAGGGGGGTTACAGGGGGTTACCGAGAGTCTGGGGACCGGTTTCCGTCGATTGATTAGGTTAGGGTTAGGGGTCAGACGAGATCAACTTTAGCACGAAGAAAGAGACAAGATCTAAAGAGATCTTTAGCTAACCTACATACATACATATAAAAATTACTTGATTATATTTAATTTTTATTAAGTTTAAAGTATAGATAAATTATAGGTATTATTTATAGTTTCAGTAAACAAATCTAAGAAACAAATACTGGGTCAGAAAAATAAATCAATAGATATTTACAACTAGTTTAATTACTTTCTAAGCTTTACTCTTTTCCCTTAAATTAATTTCGAAATAAATTAAAATTATAAGTATTATTTAAAGAATGTTTCAGTAAAATATCTAGGAATCAAATACTAGAACTGCAAAATAAATCAAAAGATAAATCAAAAATAGTTTAATTACTTTCTAAGCTTTACTCTTCAAACAGCTTGACATTAAATTTCTCCTTAAATTTATATTAATTCAATGACTTCACAATGAAATATAAATTAAAACATAAAACAAAATACATAATACTTTCTATGCTTCACTCTTTCAAGCTTTTACTTTCCCCTTAAATTTAGATTAATTCAAGTAGTTTAATACCTTTACCATGTTATAGAGGTAATAAAATATTAAAACATAATATAGATTTAATATCAATACTTATTCATAAAAAACAATTTAAAACAATCTCTCTGAAACCAGTTTTAACAGCTTAAAACTTTTACTAATGGGTCTTTATTCCCAAACAAATTGATACCTTCATGACGTCTGATATGACTGATGTTCCCCAACGAAAAAATACCCCTCTAATTGGCAATTATTTCGGTGAATCCCCGCCGCCTTGCTGGCTCAAAGTCACGTAACCTGGGAATGTCCTGGCTTTTGCGCCTGGATCGGGTCTCAAGTGGCACAGACCAGAAAATCAAAATCAATACGTTGGAGTCGTCGCCATGGCTTTATCCTCCTGACTTTTCTTATAGGTGGTTACCTAGCTCCGATCCCGGGCTTACCCTTTGTGGTGAGGGGACTGAGGGGATCCGGAAGGGGGACTAAGGCTAAAGGATATTGAAAAAAGGCGCCGCTCGGTAAAACTTTTTTCATTTTTAGTTTGTCAAGTTGCCACAAAAGGGCGGCGACGCCAACTCCAAGTTTTTCTCTATAAAAAGCCAAAGAGAGGGAGAGTTCGGGGGAATTGTCGAAAAACCCGGTTAAGGGAGGGGCGGTGGACAACTTAACATTTGCACGCTCAAAATGCCCAAAAAAAAGAAAAGGGGAAAACACAAGAGTGAAAGACGAAAAGGAGCCAAGGATAAAGGGGCGGACCAAGTGCTAAAGTTGGTCCTAACTCCAAAAGGATGCCGAAGGATCCCCGCACCGCCTTTCCCCCTGGGGCCCGGCTTCTTTGTGCAGACAACTGCACTGCACTTTCCCCCCGGCCTGTCCCTCAGCACTCCATATCCTTGTGCCTGCCTTTGGGTCCTTCCTTCCAGCTCGGCCTCTTCTCTCTGGCCAGAAAAGCATTGCCTACTTTCCGGCAGCGGATTCTTGGTCGTCTGGCGCCAGGCGCCACCTAGCGGCCGGCGGCGTATCCACTCGAGTGTGGAATGCATGAGGAAATTCACCAAAAAACGTACAGTGAGGTCTCACTAAGGGTTACAAAGTCACTTTTTTATATAGGATATATTAAAAAATAATCTATATTTCACTAGAAATATAAATAATAAATATAATAATAAATTTGTAAGCTATAAAGTGGCTCTAACATTGCAAATTATGCTTCCATCCCTTGAAACTCAATATTTTTATGGTAAATTGTTCACTTGCTCATAATATTCCACTGCCAGTTTGTTGTATTAATTATGTTGCATTTGATTTTCAGTAATTAATCAATCTAACTAATTACTATGCCATATAATTGGTTACATAGAATATCCTTGAAGCTCGAATTTCAGAGCCTTCACTGTATATATGTGGATGATAATTTAAATTGTGATGCATCGCTCGTTATGAATTCACAAAATGCCAATACACACACACACACAGAGTGGGTGTTTTTTTTATTTTTTTGGTGGGCGTATGCAGTGGCCACAGCCCTGGGCATATATATATATATGGAGAAATTGTTATAAATTATGCACGAATGCGACAAAAATGGGGTTGGATTTGTGATTTGAATTGGGGGAGTGGCTGGGTGGTGACCGAAGCAATACACAAAAGCAATTGTATAATTGCATTTTAATATGATGACTGCTGCAGTTTTAGTGCCCGCAGCATCAGCATCAGCAGTAGCAGTAGCAGCAGCAGCAGCAGCAGCTGTAGCAGCAAATTAGTAAAATTCAGCAAGGGAAAATACTAAAAAAAAATTGTACCCAATAATAAATTAGATAATAAAGCAACTTGCCTGGGAAAAAGAATTCATAGGATACATTCCAGCGCGCTCTAAATTGATTTAAAGTCCTTGGAATTATTAAGTTTTTCCCATCTGTAATTCCTTCTAATTTTCGAATGAAAATCATATGCACTATCCTCGGGCATTATTCTATAGAATTCAACTTATAATCTGCTGATCTATGGCTTCCATCAATAAAATGGGACAGAACTTAAGCTGCCGGCTGCAGAATGCAAAATGCAGTGCCAAAATGCATTATAACAAAACGTTTCGGCTTGGCTAAGCATGGCCACAAATTATTTTGGAAATTTACAAAAATGCACCAAGCATTATAAATGGCAAAAGTGTTTTAATTAAATGGCAATTCCAGAGAGTCAGAGGCAGAGTCAGAGCCAAGGGGAGAGCATCTTTGGGTAAAGCCGAAAGCGATTCAAATGCATTCACCGTTTATTTATTGCCAGAGTGTGTGCATGTGTGTGTGGGAAATTGCTCTCACAGGTGGAAAATAATGAAAGCCCCCCCGCTTTGAGTAAGTGTTCCAGCCATGTCTAAATTAATGCCTGCAATTAAAATGCTTAGCACTCGTTGGGTGCCCCGCTGCCATCTCGTCCTTTTAAGCAGATCAAGTCAGTTGACTGCCCCCAGAGGCTGTTTCTATCTCTCTATAAGTAGACTGTGGGGAAAAGGACTTGATGGACAGAGTCCTTTTGCCCAAGGACAGGTGTCAGTTTATTCCAATTCCCTAAGGCTATCAATAAGACATTAAAAAATGTTTAAATGCTTATATTACTTGAGATTTCGTATGGTTTTTTAAATGCTGAAAAATAACTACAATATTTATTTGTTTTCAAATATGATAATATAACTTCTTAGTGTTTTAAATAATTTATTTATATATTTTTTAAATCCCTGAATTTTGTAGTTCATATTGCTATAAAATTAATCATAAGAATGAAGAGGATTCTTCACTTTCAAAGAGCGAAACGTTTTATAATATTAAATGAGTCCCTGATGAGTAAATATTTATAATTCATAAAATTATACTTATTATTAATAATTAACAATCAATAATTTCCTAGTCAATTAATTTCATTTCGAACTGTGTAAAAGTGTCTATGTATATGGGAAGAACTTGCTGTCGACAGGTTGTGGCCATTGTAAGCCTCTGTGGTGGATTTTGCCTACCAAATGCATTTTCCATATCGAAGGAGCACTCCTTGAGGTCCTTTAATGTCCAAAGTCTGAGGTCCCTAAGTCCAATGTCCAAAGTCTGCAATCTGCTGTGTGTTGCATTATCCGATATGCTCAAGTGTTGGCACAAGTCCAGCTTTTGTTGCATTTACCTTATTGTGTTGTTAAGCCTCACAGTGGATAGAATG